TTCGCTTCCGTTTATTTTTCCAAGTGCTTAAGAAACCGTAAACTATCAATAACTACAAGGAATTAGAATTAATACATAATAATACTCACTCTTAAATAAATATTAATTGTTGTTAAATAAACATTTAGTGTAATACACTTACTGTAATATAACGGCACAGATATAACCAAAACATTAATTTAGTACTATAGTATAGCGAATATACAGTTTACAATAATATATGAGATGCCGGTCACCAACAGCTGACTATATTACCGATATGCGCATGCGCGCCTTCCTATTCTCACAGCTTATCGCGCCGCGAGACAAAACGTTACAAAACGTGTCGGTATTGACCTTACCGAAAGCCCCAACTGTTCCGCCAGGATTTACTAATGTAAAATTGTATAACGTGGGATCGGCATCACTACTTGTTGTTGTGGAGTTGCATACACAAACACGTGCAAGGTAGGTGTTGATTGTTGCGGGTGTGCTGCTGGCCTAGATTGTTTCCTAAGGAACACTTAAACCCTCTTCGATAAAAATTAATTTAACGAAGCCGATATTTTAGGAAATAACGGTCGAATATTTTCTATCTGTGGTTTTTCTTCGAATGATAGAACGAGCAATAATAACTAATGTGAATTTTCAACTTTTAATAAGAACATACACTAAAACTAACACCAAAAAATACTTAAAGATAACTACAACGAAAGAACTATTGATGAACTGAATGCTTGAACGTAATGATTGAACGTAATGAGCTTATTACATAGAAAAGATGCTTAAATAGAACAACCAAATATAGGGGGTGGAGGTATGTTAGTGGGGTGTTTTTGACCTTAAGCTATGGTTAGTGACTACGTGACTACAATCACAAAATTGTTTATGGATGGGAAGATCATCGACCCATCTGGTGACCAGCACGAAGGGACAATACCTGCCTAGGAAAAATCTACATAATATGTTAATAAAGTTCCTTTGTTGCAGGCACGTATTTATAAGTTTAAACTGCGAATAACAAAATTGTTTTTTCACTATTCAAACGATGCATCATGAATTGCGCTCCAACAGTAGGAATACACTGCCGGTTATTTCATGCGGCGATGGTAATGATACAATTCGCAAAAGCAACAGAGGTGTATCCTGGTGGATGACACGGAAAAAACTACAATCGTCGGTGTACTGCTGTACCACATAGAAAAAACTTCTCGAAGGACCAGTGCACTCGATGGTAAAGAAAAACTCACATAGAAATACAAATAACTATATTTAAAATGCTTCAAGTGCACACTAAAGGTTATGTTGGCGATGATTGCAATTGATTTGTGTCGATTGATTATGTTCTATGATAATGTTCTGTATGACGATTGATTGATATTCTATATATGATTATGATAATATGCTCTCGATTTACTAAAATTCTTAGTATATAAATTGTCATCCCTACTACGAAATGAGCCAGCCGAAACTGGTTCAAGCTGTACAGCTATTGTTAGAGAGGTGACTTGACCAATCCTGGAAATACCGAATGGTACTGATTTCGGGACAGACAATACATCGTATACGTTTCTTTGGTACCTGCACAACAACAGTGCAGGAATTGAACATAATTTGGAAGTGTTGCTGAAGGCAGATTCTTGAAATTACAAATAATAATGTTAAACTGAACAATTGATACAAATAACCCAAGAAACAAATGTGCAAATGAACAAATGTACCTACAACTAAGCAAAGATTAATATACAAATAAACAAATATACCTACATATCTACAAAAAGCAAATATACAAATAAACATATATACCTACAAATAAGGAAATATACAATTATAATTAAAATATAAAAAATATGTTTCAAACGTGTAAACAATACGCGTGGCTTCATTCATATTATAATAAAAAATTAATCTTTTTGATAAGATGTTTTCAACGTACCGCTTCCAGAATAAACATATCATTACTAATATTAATAAAATGATCGTATATTCAGTTAGTTTCAAGTTCAAACATGTTCCATTGTTCAGATAAATAATATTCATCACGATCATAAGGTCGTCAGTCCTAAGACTGGTTGGACACCTACCTCCTCTCTTTCCGATCCTGCGCTAATCTTCGCATTTCCCTAAAACTAGAACATCCCACATCCTTAACTATTTGCGAACAGTAACCTAATCTAGGTCTCCTCTACCCCTCCTAACTTCCGTTTCTGCCTCCAATATGTCTCTGACTAGACCTTCATGCCTAAGATGTGTCCTACTAACCTATCTCGCCTTTTGTTTGTAGATAAGATGCAAAACTTTGGTATTGTAGAAATGGCCTGTGGTTTAATAAAATGCGATTAAAGGATATAGGTAATTTCCCAAATGTCCCTGTAACCGATTAACAGGAAAAGTATCAGACAGTGCGAATTTCAAGTACCAGGTGTTAATCTGTTAATTTTAGATAAACCACTTGAAATTATTTTTTAACTTGAAATTTGGACAATAAAAATGATTTAAACAATCTACGACCTTTGACTTTGACATTATCAATCCATAAGTACGTAGTTATTAACGAAATCCTTTTTTTGTTTTAGTAAAAATTAAGTGTTTTACATATATCCATAATTAATTAAATGGCCTTCGGTAACAACAGAATTTTATTATTTATGCAGGTTATCATTCATGCAGTTAACATTAATAACAATTAGGAGTAATATATATAT